GACAGGCAAGCTTTTATATATTAAAAATATTCGTTTTCTGACAAGCATTTTACTGTTAAGTTTAAACTATAATTAAAGTCAAATGTTTAGCGGACGAACCTTGAAAACTCGCGCATACACAGAGAAGTAAAACACAGGATCGAGACTGTGTTAGGGGCAATACTTTAGAATAGGATACTGATATTGAGTTTGGGGCAAAAATTTAAAACATAATATGGACATTGAGAGATTAGTATAGCAAGGCGAGAGTGCAGAGCTAGGACTGTGTTTGGGGGCAAAGGTTTTAACAAAGAATTTGGACACAGAGTTTGGACCAGAAAGGTCACAGTGTATGGCCGGGACTGTTTAGGGGGCAAATATTTGAAAACAGAATATGGACATTGAAAGATTGGAACAAGAAGGTCAGAGTGCAGTGCCGAAAGTTAATTGTTAGTAAGGTAGACTGGGTATAATTAAAGAACCAGTTGAAATAGACATCGTTCTAGAACCCATGTACACATTGGTTTATGATTGTATATTCGACAAACAACGTGGTCTCCCGTAAACTTCTAACTAGTTAGTGAACGAAAGATTATTCACAGAAAATGCTACAAAATTACAGAATTGAAGAAAATATAGACAATTGTCCGTTGCACAAACAGGTCATTTATTACAACCATAGTCAGAGAATAATAATAGCCACCATAGTCATAGAATAATAATAGCCACCATAGTTAAATAATAATAATAGCCACCATAGTCATAGAATAATAATAGCCACCATAGTCATAGAATAATAATAGCCACCATAGTTAAATAATAATAATAGCCACCATAGTCATAGAATAATAATAGCCACCATAGTTAAATAATAATAATAGCCACCATAGTCATAGAATAATAATAGCCACCATAGTTAAATAATAATAATAGCCACCATAGTCATAGAATAATAATAGCCACCATAAAAATAGAACAGACAATAGCCACCAGTCATAGAATTGACAATAGCCAGATTCTATGATTATAGTAGCTATAATCTATTCTATGATTATTCTGGCTATTATCTATTCTATGATTATTCTGGCTATTATCTATTCTATGATTATTCTGGCTATTATCTATTCTATGATTATTCTGGCTATTATCTATTATATGATTATAGTAGCTATTATCTATTCTATGATTATTCTGGCTATTATCTATTCTATGATTATTCTATAATAGCCAGAATAATCATAGAATAGATAATAGCCAGAATAATCATACAATAGATAATAGCTCAACTTGTACTGACTTGTACTACCTGACAGAAGTTGGTTTTGTTCAGTTATTCTGATTGAAGAATGACCTCTCTTTCTTCTAAACGCTCGTAAAGAGGTGGTCACCCCACACCCCCACACATTAGGTATGCCAGAATATTAATGAACAGAAAGGGAGAAGAAAAACAAAAACCTTTGGATATTTCATCTTAGCTCTTCAGCACTCTACATAGTGTTGCTAGAAGTATACAGAGGGCGCCATCAGGTTTCGGTCTTAGGGGTTGTCGCCCCCGATTGCGAACACGGGAAAACTCGTATCTTCAGTGAGGGTGCTCGTACATATTTAGCAGATGTCAACTATTTTTGTTTCAGAGAAGACAAACCTCGGATTCCTCTTTTCTCGGGTTGACTGCAGTTGCTAAGCAACGAGGATCCAATAGTGAGTAGAGAATACGTATATATATATATATATATATACCTCTAACTGAAAATGTAAACCCTAAACTCAACCCTCTCATTTTATTTTTATCTGTATTCCCATTTACTCCAGTCTTTATCGAAAAGACACTTCAGTTCTTGAGTTACTTTTTTTTTCTTCAGTTGGTTTCTCTTTTTTTTATCTGATGACTCAGCGATGGGTGAGAAACATACAGACACGTTTAGCAGAAATAATGATGAAAATTTAATCGTCACATTTTATTTGTACTTGTTTCGTATTTACTTCAGTCGTTGGCGGTAGCTCAAACTAATTTGTTTGATCTTGATGCTTTATATTATTTTAGAGGGTGGGGAAGACTGATCAATACTGTGATCGATCCTCCCTGCATCTAGTGAACTCGAAAATTAAGTATATCTCAAGCTTGCGGTGGACATGTTTTCTAGTATGTCAGATTCTTCTCGCGGCTATTCTGAATTCATGAACGAAAACTGAAATCATAGAATAGATAATAACCCACAAAACTAACTTGTACGATTGGACTGAAGTCATAGAATAGATAATAACTCACAAAACTAACTTGTACGATTTGACTGAAGTCATAGAATAGATAATAACTCACAAAACTAACTTGTACGATTTGACTGAAGTCATAGAATAGATAATAACCCACAAAACTAACTTGTACGACCTGACTGAAGTCATAGAATAGATAATAACCCACAAAACTAACTTGTACGACCTGATTGAAGTCATAGAATAGATAATAACCCACAAAACTAACTTGTACGCATCTCGATGAATTATTTGATTGTTAACACTCAGCTTAAATATTTTTTATATTTCCTGAAAATAAGAAAAAGGTGAAAAAATAGTAACTAGGCAGAAAAATGACGATTGGAGTTTAAATACCACAGGTAAAATAGATATGACCTTAAATAATGTTTAATAACACATTAATATGCCAGACGCACTGAATAAATCAATACGAAAATGTCAAAGGTGTTTGTTTGAAAAACAAAAAGTATAGGAAGCCACTGTGTGTGTGTGCCTGCCTTTGATCACGTAGGTTACCAGTCTACTATCTGTTACACTAGTTGTTGCTACGATACGAGCTCTGATTGTTCGCCGTTTCTCCAGTTGTTCCTGTCACGTTATCACTAGTTGTTGCTAGGATACGAGCTCTGATTATTCGCCGTTTCTTCAGTTGTTCCTGTGACTTATCACTAGTTGTTGCTACGATACCAGCTCTGATTATTCGCCGTTTCTCCAGTTGTTGCTACGATACGAGCTCTGATTATTCGCCGTTTCTTCAGATGTTCCTGGCACGTTATCACTAGTTGTTGCTACGATACCAGCTCTGATTATTCGCCGTTTCTTCAGTTGTTCCTGGCACGTTATCACTAGTTGTTGCTACGATACCAGCTCTGATTATTTGCCGTTTCTTCTGTTGTTCCTGTCACATTATCACTAGTTGTTGTTACTATACTAGCTCTGATTATTCGCAGGAATGTATACAAAACAAGACCTGGGGCCGTGAGACTGTATCTCATAAAATCCTCGCGTCTTTCAAGTCGTCAAGGGCAATATTAATTTCGTTAGTAATAAATAAAAACGATGCGGGAAAGCGGGGAGGGGGGGGGGGGTGGATCCGAGAGGTAGTATTTACACAGTAGTTGACACTAATTGAACGATAATATGTTGTTTTTTTTAATACTACAAAAAATAATAGTAAACTAATGAGTGGAAAGATTACACCGAGTTGGATATTAAGGTATTCAAAACTGAAGAGTTAAACGCAAGTTTAGGTTGAGCATGCATGAGAAAAAAACAGGGCCATATATTAGCGGTACAGTTTTTAAACACTGTCTACCAGATTAGATGCAACCTCTGAAGGTAACGATGTGTGTCTAACTTCGAAATTCAACCAAATCCTTCTTCTCTGAGTGTGCTGATATGTAAGTGAGAAACTGTGAAGCAACAAGTCAGGTATAGGAAAACTCTGCTGGTGAGTTCTAGTTCATCCTGGTGGATAAAACTCTACTGGTGAGTTGTAGTTCATCCTGGTATAGAAAACTCTACTGGTGAGTTCTAGTTCATCCTGGTATATAAAACTATACTGGTGAGTTCTAGTTCATCTTGGTGGAGAAAACTCTACTGGTGAGTTCGAGTTCATCCTGGTATATAAAACTATACTGGTGAGTTCTAGTTCATCCTGGTGGAGAAAACTCTACTGGTGAGTTCTAGTTCATCCTGGTATATAAAACTCTACTGGTGAGTTCTAGTTCATCCTGGTGGAGAAAACTCTGCTGGTGAGTTCTAGTTCATCCTGGTGGAGAAAACTCTGCTGGTGAGTTCTAGTTCATCCTGGTGGATAAAACTCTGCTGGTGAGTTCTAGTC